GGGGGGGGGGGAACCAATGTTAATTATCTCAGGTTAAGTGGGTTTTTGGCAGCCCCCCTCCCCAAAAAAATGTAAATCACTTGCATTCAAAATGCATATGAACAACAAAGATTCAACCCAGATTCTGTCTGGATTATTTTCACCATCTGAATAACCTCTGAGGTATACCTGTACTCCTTATTGTCTAATTATCTCTGGCTACAGAGGGAGAATGAAAGGTTTACTGGTAAAATCAAGATTACCCCTCATTTCTGCCCAGGCTAAATTTCTTATGTTATGATGTTTGACTTTTCAGTGACTTAAAGATCCTGTTTTCTTTTAAACATCTATTTTTCATGTGGGCTGTTTTTCGCCCCCATCAGGTTTCATCAGTCCTGCTTTTAAGTAAGAAAGCTACCGTATGTGGAAAGCTATTGCACTAATTACACATGCATGTATACACATACATACAGTTCCATGTGTGTATGTGTATGAACCTCACTCTTTTGAGTTTTCAGTGGGAGACCTGTTATCCTTCCTTCGCTTCCTTCTCCTGGCAGTATTATACCCAATGCATACCATTTATGTGTAATAGAGTCTAAACCATTATTTCTAAAATGAAAAGCAAAATTAGGAGCAGAGGAGGAGCAATGGGAGGAGATGACTAACACTTTTTTGATCAGCTATTTTTCGGATCAGAGTCTTCCATCCTTAGCTGTTCCTCTTTCCTTAGGGTTTTGTATGCACGCAAAGAAATATTCATGCAGTAGTTTTACATTTTGGTTTCCTTTGTTGGCATTGGTCTTTTTTTTCTTTTTTCTTAATATTTTACAAGTTTTCAGAGGCTTATTTTTTAAAATTTCCCAAATTCTCACCCCTGCATGACCTGCCCCCTTCTAGTCTCCATACAAATTGTGCAAATTGTTTGATATTTATGAAAAAATTGTTTGATTTTTAGGGAAACAGGAAAGAAAGAGGAGGGGAGAAACTCAGAGAAAGAGCTAAAACAGGGGATGGAAAAGAAAGAGCAGAAGACGATAGAGAGGTGTCCCCTTTCTCCTGGCATGATATGTCCCTTTGGTCTCCAGTGCAGAGAACTCCAGTAATCCACTAGCATAGTCAAATACCTGTAGTACTATGATCATACTTCCACATGCTTCTTTACGTCTACTAATCTCAGATTGCCCTATCCATTTACATCTTTCCAGATTAATAACCTTCTCCTTCAAAACTGCCAGATATCTTTGATGGTGCTGCACATTTGCATCAGAGTTCCTCATACAGGTTGAATCCCCCTTATCCAGAATTCCGAAATCCAAAATATTCCAAAATCTTCTATATGGGTGGTTGAGATAGTGACACCTTTGCTTTGTGATGGCTCGATGGACACAAACCTTGCTTTATGCATACAATTATTAAAAATGTGTATAAAATACTCCGCAGGCTATGTGTATAAGGTGTATATGAAACATAAACAAATTTCATGTTTAGACTTGGGTGCCATCTCCAAGATATCTCATTATGTATATGCAAATAGGAAAAACATCCAAAATATTTCTGGTCCCAAGCATTTCAGATAAGGGAGATTCAACCTGTAAAGTTGTCTGTATCTGATTGAGGTGTTTCAGTGGTCTTCCCTCATGAACTTGTATAAACTTCCTCCTCTCTTTCAGCTTCTTCCTCTCTTGCCATGTGTGTGTGTGTGTGTTTATGTGTTTTTGTTTACTTTTAATAAAGAGAGCCTTCCATGTCATTCTACTGTTCCAGCTTGCCATTGTTGCTGATCTGGTAGTCAAGGTTTGAGACACTTGGCCTTTTCTGATTCAGGCTCCCCAATTGATCAGAAAATCTTCAGGGATATTTGAAGGAGGAGTGGCTCTAGTCTAGGGTTTCTGTATAGACTCCTGCTTCTCTTTATTTTGACTAGGGGTTGAGACTGGAAAGGAGTGACTAGATTGGTAGCTAGGAATCAAATTTTATGTCGTGTGGTGTTGT